AGTGAGGTGCTCAGGCATCCTCTGAGGTGCAGCTGGAACAGTAAATGCTCTCTGAAGCAGCTGCTGGGCCTTAATGTTGAGATCCTGAACAGGGCTCAGCCAGCAACATGCTTGAAGATAACTTTAATTACCAACCAAAAGCAGCTGAAACATAAGCTCAAAGCTTGCTAAAGTAAATATATGTTTTCCAACATGGTCCTGTCGCCTTCCTAAGGCTGACCTCAAGGCAAAGGCTGCTGAGCTGAAAGCAGGGGCTGCTGCAAGCAATGCCTGATCTGTCAAATCCTGAGTCAAGTTGTTGGATTCAAATCATTGCAAGTTGTTTGAACTTCTTCCAAAAGCACAAAAAAACATGATGCAACAACACCTGAGTTGCTGAAATGATGGCAAGTGTCAGCATTGAACTTAAAGTCCTCAACCTCAGGCCTCAAGCAGTTCGCCATCATGAGGTCGTGGTCCCACTCAATGGAAGGCTCCTCTCGAAGGTACTCCTTAGCCACACAGTGCCAACTAATTAATGATTAGATATTGTTAATTAGTTTAATTATCAGCCCCCAGCCCAACAACATAGGTAATTAAAGCACAATGGTCACAGCCAAGGCTCTGAAACCAGCAGATCATACTGAACTGAATTCAGTGTCTCCCACTGAGCAGTCCTCAAGATGAGATCCCACTCAACCAGCTTGTCCTCAGCATTGAAGCAGAGCTCATGAAGTGCTCAATCATGAAAGGACCCAGGCCTAAAACAAATTTCACAAAAATAAAGCTATTTTATGCCAATTAGGCAAAGCTCTTGCATCTGAAGATGGAGTGAACCCTGAAGGAAGCTGAATCTCTCAATTGCCAGGAACTCTTGGAAAGCGGCTGCCCCTGAATGGCCTCACATGGCTGAGCAACAAGACTAAACATGCAAAACATTAGTAATTAAGTCATATGCATAACAATTTAGTCATTAACAGAACTGAAATAGATGACCACATTAAAAGGCATACCCAGGCACGTGGGCTGAAGTCGCTGAAGATCTGGCTGAGGTGCCTGCAGACATCTCTGGGCGAGCCAGTCTTGGTGTCCATTCCTGAGTTGGCTGCAAGGCAATGCCTCAAACTTTAATTGCTCAGCAACAGAAAAACAAGAAAACTTTCCTTACTAAACATACCCCATCAGCAAAAAAAGAGCAGAGATAAGCATAACCATTCAGCTAAGTGGCGGCGCTCAATGACTGAAGCTTTCTCAACCAGCTGCCACACTAAAGTTGATGCAGCCTCCACAAGGCTGGCCAGCTTCTTCACTTGAACCATGGTGACCACAACCAGGATGCTGAAAGCCTGTGCTGGAAATGAACCAAAATGTGGCTGTTCCAGAAAAAACCTTTAATGCCATATCCAAAAAAACAACTAACACCAATCATGAAAGCCAAGAGTCAATCTGAAAAAGGCTCACCCCCAAGATCTCCTCCAGCTGAATGACCACAGGGCTGATGGGGTTGATGCCTGCTCAGGGCTTACTTAATCAGCCAAACAGAAAGCAAAGAGCCAACACAGCTTAAGCAAAGGCACCTGAAGCCATCCCTGAAGAGATCATCAATGCCACAATGAAGATCATCTTAAGAGCCATCCTTAGCAGGGGGCTGGCTGGCACTGTTTGATTACAAAAGCAACACCTAAAAAAAACAACTATATTAAAAAAAGAACAGGTTGCTGACCAGTTGGGTTGAGCAGCTCAGAATGGCGCACAACTGAATCAGAATCTGAAGCTTGAAGTCTTCAAAAGCTCTGGCAAACATGCAGCACAATCTGAACATGCTCAACTTCCAAGCTCAACTTCCAAGCTCAACTTCCAAGCCAAAGCTCAACACCCAAGCATGCTCAAGTTCCCACATGCTCAAAACACATGCTCAGCTGCAAGGCTCAACTCCCAAACACAAGTAATTACTCAAGTTCCCCCACACCCAATCTTCAACCTCCAATCTGACCTCACACAATCCTAAAGCTGCTGGTGCACTTTTCTTGTGCTCCAAATGTTCAAGAAGTTTGGCCCTGAAGAGCTGAACTCACCAAAAACACAAAAACATAATTAGCCTGAACTTTGCTGTGTTACTCAACAGGTGCCAAACTGAAGCTAATGCTGAAAAGACGGCCAAAGGCTGCAGTGCCTAAGCACCTATTCCAACGAAGAGCTGAAGCTCAAGCAGCTTAAGGTGCACTCACCAATGAGGACTGGTCAATTGATTGATTAAGTATGCCCATCTAAATCTCACTCACTCAAGCTGCTGAACCATGCTCTCAATTTGTTCTTTGGAGACACCTTCCTTGTGAAGCTTCTCAAGTTGCTTCTGAAGGCCCCTCCTCTTGTGCTCAGCCTCAAGCAGCACAAATTTCTCTGAAAGGCCTTCAACACATTCCTGAGCTCCCTCAAGGTCTGCAACCTTGCTGTCAGTCTTCCTCAACTTCTCTGACAGCTCCTTGCCCTCTGAGGTGGCCTCCTGAATGCCATTCTCAAGTCCTGCCTTCAGGCACTGCAAATGCCATCTCAGCCAGCCAATGTTGGCAGCCTCCCCAAGCTGAATCTCCCTCTCAATGGCCCCTCAGGGTCAACTCAGAGTTGACTGGCACCAAAGTCAAAACCAAAAAAAGCAAAAGAACACTGGCTTTTTCCCAAGCCTTGATGTCACTCTGAACCTGAGCCAGGAAAGGAAGACGAGGCGCTGGTGCCTTGGCACTGAGTCCTGGAGGGCCTGAAGAGGTTCCTGAAGATGCTGGAGGTGGTGGAGGTCCTGAAGGAACCTGAGCCACCTGAAACCCCATGTGTGGGATCCAGGGGCTCATGGGCACTGAATACTCCCTCAATTGCCACATCAGCCAGTTCCTCTTGCCTCATCATCAAGCAATTCATAGCAAAAGCAAACTAGTTTGCACTTAAAAACTGAAATTTGCGCAGCAAGAAACTAAAATTGTGATCCAGCATGTGGCTAAGTTGCATCTGTAGCACCTGGACTGAAAAGGCAGCCTGGAAGTATGAATCCAAGCATCGCCTGAAGCTGGTTGGCCCAAACTGATCAACTAAACATGTCACCCCCTAAGCACTAAAACAAACAATTAGCAAGGAAAGCAAAATACTCAATGCCAAGTGCAAATCAGTCGCAACCTGGGCTCTGGCAAGCTGTGTATGGTTCAGGCTCAATTTGCTGATACTTAACCTCAGCCTGATCATGTACAGGTTGCTTGTTTCCTGAACTCATGGCTGCACAGGAGGCTGAAACTTACCCAAAGACTTGAAATTGAGCTGAAATGGCCAACCATGCATCTGCTCAAGGTGGCTCAAGCTGGCCAAACCTGGTTTCATTCTAGCTCAAGCCCTCCCTGGCTGAAAGGCACACCCCTTTGAATGGCTACAGAAAGAACTCAAAGGGAAGTGGTTGCAATACTAAAGTAGTATTCCAAAAAGTCTGCTCAGGAAGAAGTTGTTGCAATACTAAAGTAGAATTGCAAAAAGGAAGTGGCTGCAATACTAAAGTAGAATCGCAAAAAGGAAGTGGCTGCAATACTAAAGTAGAATTGCAAAAAGGAAGTGGCTGCAATACTAAAGTAGAATTGCAAAAAGGAAGTGGCTGCAATACTAAAGTAGAATTGCAAAAAGGAAGTGGCTGCAATACTAAAGTAGAATAGGGTGGCTGCAATACTAAAGTAGAATTGCAAAAAGGCTGGCTGCCAAGTTGTGGCTGCAATACTAAAGTAGAATTGGGCCCCAAACCTCCATTTTGGACGTCCCAAAAGTGCACCCCCATTGTTTTGGCGCTTTGATTGTTCCGGGGGGGGGGGGGGGGGGCCCTTTATTAATCAAGTGCTAACATTAGTGAGGATGATTATCTACCATCTAGGCGATCACGATCATCATCATGTCAAGTCGGGTCTAATGACGTAGTCGTCTTCATGATAATCACCACTATACGCATCTGCTATGCTGAGCGTTGGGCTGTCGTTCTGTCCGTTTTGCTGGCTCGTGTGCTGCGCGGTCCTTGCTTTTTCCCGACTTTTTCCCCGTTGGTTTTTCGGGCCTTCTGGCGCGCGCGCGCGCGCGACCCCAGCCACAAAACGCCGCTATTTACGGTGGTTTGTTGCGTTTGCGTTTCCGGGCTGGCTTGCGGGCTGTTCTTTTTGGGCTGCTCGTTCTGGGGCCTCTGGCGCGCGCGCGGCCGCATGTGAACCTTCTGGGTTGGGGCCCGCATAACCTAACCAGCCATATCACAGCACAGGATGCGTTTCTCATACACAAACATGACATGACATGGTATAACTTCAAAGAGACGTAGCCGGCTAGAGGCCGCAGGCCCAAAAGATGCCTGCTGCTAACAAGCAAACAAACAGACAGACAAACAGACAGACAAACAGACAGACAGACAACCACGCAACCACACAAACACGATCCCACAAACACACCACACACACACACAAACGCACACGCGCACACACACACACACACACACAAGGCACGCACACAAGGCACGCACACACACATGCACGCACAGAAATTCCGAGAGGTGGGCATTTTCCGGCGTGTCTCGCGTCGAGGCGCTGCTTCCGGAGCTGCCCCAGGCGGTCCCGGAGCTGGGCCTTGGGCACTGCTGGCAGCGTGGCTTGCTCCAAGCGCTCCAGGAGACTCATCAAGGCCTCCTCCTCGCGTCAAACTCGGATTGGCGAAACGAAATCCAACCCTCACGGAAGCTGACAGAAATAGACAGAAAGGCTTGGGGAGGCTGCAGTCCTCTTTCAAAGGCCCCCTGTCCATTCCCACGCATGTTGGAAAGAGGGTGCCTAAAACAAGCGGGGGACTAAAACAATGGCAGGTAGTTCTCCCCAATGGAAATTCTTGAAAACCCAGGCCAATGAGTGGCCGACTTTCTACTAGCATGGGAATCGGATGGGAATCGGCTGAGGATTGTTCAGGGTGGGGGGTTAGATCGAGGCACGTTGAATCAAATTAGCGAACAGAGTTGCACGACATCAAGGCAGAATAGTTTGCAAATGTTTAATTACCCGCAACCTCTTCGACAGGGTGGTGCAGACGGCCAGTAAATGGAAGCGTGCCTCCACCTTGGACTTTTCCAGCTTCCCCACTTCCTCTTCCATAAGTCGGGACTCCTGCACTGACTTCCATGACACAAGAGCCCTCAAAGGTCCAATGGCCATGCCTCAACCCATCTCCCCAAATGTTCATCACATCCCCCTTTCTGCCAGTCCTCAATAGCGGACTCCGCCACCTCACCTGTGGCCGCCATAATGCGGCGGATGGACTTGGCGATGCCTGGCGGCCCAACACCAAAGGCAGCTCCAAGCATTGCTTGTTGCAATAGTTTCAAGTCAAACTGGTGCCGGTGCAAGCTCAGCAGCCAGGCCTTTCTCCTCGAGCACAACGAAGCTTCTGGCTTCGGATGATGTCGCGATATGAGTCCCTCCGCCTTAGGGAAAGGCACGGCTTGGAAGATCTGGATGGCAATCCGATCAAAGGCGAACATTCTTATAGATTTAGAAAAGCTTCGGCTGGATGCCTTCCAGCTAAATGCCTTATGCCAGCTTCTTTTCAGTGCCCTGGATTCATTTTTTCGCTGCTATGATCCATTTTGAAAATAGGGTCACTTAGTCATTCCCGGGTGGCCGCGGGACAACCCTGAGCCCTTTCAATGTCTCAAGTGACCTGACTAAGTGACCTTATTTTCAAACTGGATCGTGGCACCCAAAACATGAATCGAGGGCACTGAACAAATGCTGGTGCCTTGGACCCGGGTGACATACATACGCCCGAGTGTGAATCTTCCAAGGGACAGAACTCTACCGACTGCGACATCCATTGATCATCATCAGGAGCTGCCAGGATATTCTCAATCGTACCCTTACCTGCAGGGACGCAGATGCCGGGAAGAATGAGGACGACTGGCCGGCCCCGGAGACAAGCGAAAACTGGTCAAACGGCCAACCCTCGCGCTCGTCTGCTCGGGCCTACGGTGACCACGCGCACCGGGTCGGGGTACGCCTCTCCGGCCATGGCGCGCAGGCCCCGGATAGCCTGGGCCTGTGCCAGGGGCACCTCCTGGGAGGTGACGGGCACGCTGGAGTCCACCACGCCCTGCACCTCGATTCAAAGATCAAAACAAAGGACGGGAATCCGACCGGCGAAAAAAAGCCTTCAATAGCGTGGCACGCTGGTGACAGTGCCTAACCTGGCATGGAGGACACCAACGAGATTGCGCCCAGCTGCCAAGCACTCCACTTGCTTCAGGTCTTTCATTGACACGCCGCTGCTGGCTTCATAGCTGAAGTCGAAGCGGAGCCTCGCGCAAAGGCGGAGGCACACTCGTGCGAGGGACATGTCAGTGCGTGTGAGGAGCAGCGGCACAGTTGGCAGCTCCCGGCAACACGCCACATTCCTAACATCGACCGCAGGCGCCTGTCAGCTGTGACCAGTGATCCACGCTGGTCAATGCCTTCACCCAACACCTGCGCTGATACCAACCGCCCCCCCCGGCTTCCACAAGCGACGCAAGAGTTCTCCGTCGCCAGGCCTCCCGCAAGGCCCAGTTCAGGACATGCGTCATGGTGTGGTTGGGTGCAACGCGGCTACGGTGCTCGTAGTCCACCTCCCGCACGAGTGCAAATGTTCAACTTGCCCACCAGGAAATACCAACAAAACATCCGGACTCAGTCTGCTCAGAACTTCGCAACATGAAGGATGCAACAAATCACATCGCACCTGGAGCCCTGGAAGCCTCAGGCCTTGATGCGAGCCCCGCACAGGCCTCGCAGAAGACATCATCGCCCACTTGCAAAGCAGCTGGCTTGGCGCCAGTATGCAGAACATAGCCAGCAAAGACCTCCCAGCACAAACAGAGGCGAGCTTCCCTTGTCTTTTGCAGCGTGGCCCAGAATGAATGGGAAGCAAAGCTCTTGCACACACACACACACACACACACACAGACACACGCTGAGCTTGCCAGGCACGCAGGCTCATCCCAAAAGATGTTACGTACATGTGCTTCCTTTCAGACACCTGGAAAGGAGGCTTGACCAAGCCCAGCGAGATCGCATAAGCGTTGAAGCTTGTCATTGTCTTATGCAAGCCCTTGGCAGGCGAGGAAAAGCACTTGCAAAGCGAGTTGGGCGCTTAGGTTGTCAGGCGATTCTTGCTATCTATCACTTTGACAGGCACGTGCCCAGTGACAAGCTCAGAGCGGTCGCCTGCACCACCTTGACATCCATCAGCTCTTGTCCATCTTCCTTGGGTGGGCGCGCCTTCCAAGCCCAACTCAGCTCCTACTGAACCCTTTGCCACAGGCAGGAGGAAGCTGCAGCAATCTGTAGCACATCAACAGTGCAAAGTAGAATGGATTCCCTCCTAGAAGAGTCACGGAATCAAATTGGTTCCCCAACGCTACCCGAAGCGATGGGCCAACGTCACGCCTGCGGCCGGGCAACGCTCACCAGGCGGCCGAGGTCTCCCACCTGGCCACCCGCCTCTGCGTAGAAGGGGGTGGCATCTAGCACCTCACGTGCCAGTTCCGAACGTGTCCTGAGGAGCGAAAGGAAGCTAGTGGGCCACCCTTGAATTCCGGCTTTGACCTCATGCCACACTTCAAGAAGCCGCGCCCTCCTCAAAGGCCAAAAGCATACTGCAGGCCAACTTGGCCTTGGGGGCTCAGAGTGATTTTAGTATGATTGGTTCGGACTTCGCGGCCCTGGGTGCTTAAAGCCCTATGTACATGGCCCTCTTCCCGCGCCCAAGCAGCTTCAAAGGCGTGCTTGCACGTATATGACCAACCAATGCCAGTCAAGCCTAGACTAGAAGTGCACATCCTGACATGCTGCAAGTCTTGCTTCCTGCTGACTCTTTACAAGGTCCGGCCAAGCAACAACACCAACCGTGAAATCATCCGGAACCTCCTCGGTGCTCTGCACGAATCCTGCCAAAGAACAACTCTGCATGCGAGAATGCGGAGGGCCCATCTGCACAGATCAGAGCACAGCCCAAGGTCAAAGCTGCTAGACTGCTGAAGCGAAGCACACTACACCGTGGCAAGCAACGCAGTCAACAATACAATGCGATGCCGTGATACAAACGAGGTCCTTGATCCCAGTAGATGGCTTTCACTTTCGCCAAGGGCCGGATGTTCCAGGCGTACTTTTGCGCATCATCCTCAGCATTGCCGTCAGGAATGCAGAATCAGCTGGTAGCAACTTGGTGAGCTCGGGGGCAGCCAGCCCAAAGCCAAACTGATTTAGACCTGGGGAAGGTTGGCACCGCCTTTCATGCCACTTGTGACTTGTAGTTTGAAAAAGTTTGAGCACTCCTCTTTTCCCTGCCACCTTCGACAATCTTCAAGTCATCAAGTGGTTGCGCCACCCGCGTGCAACTGCGCCCCTTCCCCTCTGTCGGATTTCCTCCAGTAATGTCCTCCCTGTCGCACCGCCTCTCTGAGCGCTCCTGCCACCCTTTTTCTGGGTGTCCCTTATTCAGGGACACAATCGGTTGGGAGGGGTGCCTTTTGTTTACTCTGCGTTGTGTCTGCGAATAGCACTTCACTTTCTGCTACACTTGCAGAGGGAGAGGCCGTCCTGACCTGGTTTGGCCATCTGACCGCTTTGCCTGAAGTCGTCTACAAGGAAATTCGCCTTGGCCCCGAGGGGGCCAAGGGCGCTCAAATCTCTGTTCCAAAGAGAATCTTTGCTTGTCCCTTCTCCGCCCAAAATTTCTCCGGCCCACCCACCCCCCCCCCCCAACCCCCTCACCCATGTCTGCCGGCCCAAGCTCCTGCCCGGCGGGCCTGGAAATTTTCGAAGCATGGCCTCTTGCTTGGCCAGGCCCCACCCCAACCAGCAACCCACCCAAGCAACAGCTGCGACGACCAGCAGGCCCAGCCCAACCAGCAACCCCCACCGAGCCTCAGGCCCAAACCTGCTGGTGTGGCCCAGCCTGGCCTGTCTGGCGCGCTGAGACTAGCCTGAGGCCCAGCCAGCAACACCCAAGCTAGGCCAGCCCAGCCGCAGGCCCAGCCCAAACCCCACGCCAACACAGTCGATCAACACTGCCCTGCGCATGGGATTCCCATTCTGGCTCGAGTGGTCCTATGCATTTGCTTGCCCAGGCCCATGACATCTATTGGTCCAACGATGCCAGAACCTGTCCGTTCCTGAATCGCCACTTGACCAGCACGAAATGTTACTGACTTGCTTTATTGAGCTTGCTTTCCCAACAGCCAGGACCTCCCGCATGAGTGCCCTCATCTGCCAAGTTGCGGTAACTGGGATGGTCTGATCGCTCAACCATGCCTTGCCGCAATGCTATTTCAGAGAAACGTCCTAAATGAAGAAAGTGTCCATCTGCTTCCATCATGGCAATTCTGCCAGAGACATGGCGCGGTCACATACTTGTGCCATACCATGGGGTACCAATGCTGCCTGATCAAGGCTATTTTGCTCCAAACCGAATAGGTTCTAGTCCTTCCAGTGAAAAGTAGCAAATGTGATATTTTCACCTGGCCAAGGTGAATCTAAATCAAGCAGTCTAATGCTGGGCTTGATCTTCTGGGGCTCCGCACGGTCTGCTCTGCCACCAGTTGCAAAGGTTGGAGGCCTCTTCCTTCGGCCTGCGCCAGCCAAAATCCCCGGGATCCTGTATTCTTGCTTGGCTGTTGGTAGGGGGGGAGCCGCAACGCGCCAAGGGGTCCAATTCCAGTTGGCATAGGACGCATTTGCCTCTGAGTCGCCACCTTTTGTAACAATTCGGGATCCTTTGGTGGGCATCACGTATCCGGGGGACGTATGTCCTCCAGTCTTGAGGGGGCGGCTGCGCCATGAGTCCCACGGCCTCCTGCGCTTGGCGGGCCGCTCTCGACCGCTCCTTCTGCTCCTCCATGGCCGCCTGGGGGCGCTTTCCTCTATGGCACCCGCGGGGCCCCGTGTGGAGTGCGGGCACGTAGGCAAAAGGAAAAGACACGCGGTTTTTGGGCCCCCTATTCAGGAATCACCCACAAATGATTACCCGAGATGCCTCAAATCTTGGTGTCAAAGTCCTTGAGTTGAGGGGCCCTCATGCCCGCGCAGGACATATCTCGCATCGGCCATGCAAGGATTGCGCAGGCATCTTCCCAACTCATATATAGGATACATGGGTGCTCTGGGGACTGCCCGGCATTGCAATTTCAAGGTCAGGGCAAAAGTGGCGTGTACATTTCACGCTGCGGTAAATACCCATAATTACTGAACAAGCATCTCAAGTACTAAAACCATCGGGTCTCAAACAGTAAACTGCCCTGCAGCATCTCCTCCGCAACACCGCATTTAGCGCAGCAGGCATGCAAGCGAATGCGACAATTGAACCACTCCAACCATTCAGCATTACAAAAGAAGCAGTCGCTCAATGCCAAGCTGACCAATCAACCATCACCCAATAGCTGCACTGTAAGGACACTTTAAGATGGATTGCACCCAGCCAGCTCGACCTAGACACGCAGTTGACAGGTGCTCAGATGTGGGAACATCTCTGCAATAGCCTGTTCCGAGAATGGGGCACAAGCTGCTTGAAGCATTCCATAGCATTCCCAAGCTGCTTGAAGCATCCAGAGCGTTTCAAGTGCCTGCCACCTCCCCGGCCCGTGTTCCAGGCCTCAAAGCCGGCCACGTCCAGCGTGAGGCCTGCCTCCTGCGCCATCTGCTCCGTGAGGTCCAGGGGGAACCCGTGGCTGTTGTACAAGAGAAAGGCCTCCCGAGGACTCGAGACCGGTGCCGCCCGTGCCGCCCGTGCCGAGTTGTAACTGTCAAGCACGAGGGAGGCATTGTATTGTCACGAGGGGTGACAGGTCGCTGACTTGGGACGGCGCCATGTGATCGGTAGAGGTGCAAAGATAGTGGCGAACAAATGACTTTCTTCACGACTCATACCCAGCGTCAAGCCGTTTGCAAGTTGCCAGCAACAATCCAATGATTCCCCGTCGATGTTCCTGTCATGTCTCGCTGCCGAAGTCGTATACCCTTCCAATGCTCTTCCCCAACAGGCCTCTCCAGTGTCCTGACTCGCTCCAGGTTCCCACACCAGGCCCACACCAAAGCACGCGTCTCTCCCTCCCCAGGCCCAGTCCAATGAAATTCCAATTGTTTCTCCCTGCGCCACACCCGTCACAATGAAATGCAATTTCTCCTTCTCCCAGACCCATTCCGATGACAGTCCAATGAACATTCTGGTCACATTCCAGCGAAATTCAAATGGAGTTCGCATTTTTGGGACGGCTTCTGCCCATTTGTGCAGCTAGACCCATTTCGTGCCGTTTTCTCCCCACCTCTCCGCTTGCTCCCATCTCGGGCCCCACGGAGCCGCACTCTGAAGTTCACAATCTTGTCCAGAAAGCAGACGGAGCAACCACACCAGGATCCAAATGGAGCACATGGCATCACACATCAGGCCTATTCCTGGAACCATCACCTGGCTGTTGGAGAAATGAGCCGTTTTGGATTTCCACTGGAGTCTCAATGGGCCACCCTCAGCCACAGCCAGCTGAAGGGACCGCATCTGAAACTGCTCGAATAGGTCCTCTAAGTTTCTTACGAAAATCCCGGCCACAGTGGACCTGCGCAATCAGACCTGAGCTCCCTCAGCTCCATGCTGAGGATCCAAAAGCTTTTGAGCTAAGAGATGGGCATTTCGTTGCAGCGCCTTTCCAACCTGCCCGCAAACAAAGAACAGGGGCAAATAAGAAAGGGGGCGGGTGCAGCAGCGTTGGCCGACTCCACAATGTCCCCTGGGCAAAGGGGGCGCGTGCGCGTGCACACGGTGGCTCCACCGCGTCTTGCTCCGCATCGCAGGTTGCGCCAGTGAAAGTGGTTGCATCACTCGGGTGATGCCAGGCCCCCACTGCCACTGCAGCTGCCAGCTGCGGTCTTCGCACATGTTTTAAACTCGCAAAGTCTCGTGCTTGATCAACATTAGGGGAACTCCAGTGACCATTTTTCGCAGACGTCCAGCATTGGCAAAGTGGCACCAAGGCGAGGCCTGGACCCCTTGCAAAAAGTTAGCTTGCTACTTGGATGGTCGGCCAAGTTAGTAGGTGGTTAACCAACCCACTAATGACAGGGATAATTCCACTGAGGGGGGAGAGTTATGAATGGGTTGTTACCTAGGTTACCAACAACCTGTTAATTTGGTCAATTATTTGAGTAGCTAAAAGGAAAATAGAGGAATTCCAAAAGCGCAACAAGTTAAGAAGGTTGGCTAAGCCACTGGCAATGACATGTCCTAGCTTCCCTCAACTTCGTCTAAAAGAAGGCTGGTATCAACTTCGCCACTTTCTTCGGGAAGCGAGGGACACCGCAAATCACTGTGGACTCCAAAGATGCGTCCCCCAGTGCTTCCACATGCCAGTCTACTTAGATAACTAGGATTTCTTACCTCTAGATATAACATGATGGCTTTTTTCCCAACGGGTTTAGGTCAAGCTGCCCGAGGCATATGCCTTAGGTTATTGCTCAGTTGCCCAAAGGACCCAGATATAAAAGGTTAATCAAACTTTTGGGACCTTGACAAACAAAAAAACATACATTGGGCAACAAAAAGGTGAAAAGGTCGGCTTTGGGTACGGGAGATTGCCCAGGTGAAGCATAGTCTTGATCTAGTCTTCCAAGCTGGCCCCTGGTGCAGCCAAACTCCAGTTTCCGGGCCTGGTCGCCGGGAACCGTGTTAGCCCCTTCTTTGTTGAGCTGCTCCTGCCAAGGAATGAACTTAACAAGCTGAAAGATCACAGAACCTTCAGGCTCATTTGTAGGTTTCTAGATGGTCTTGAACAGAAGCAGCATGGCATTTCCCGCTGGATACTGTCTAACTATCCAAAGCAGACTTGAGCTTGAGAACTACCACTTGAAGCGACAAACAGCCTATGCAAGCAACAATGCTGAGATCACCAGCATTGCCCTCACCATTCACTGCACGCAGCACTAATATGTTGCCTGCATGGCCGTTGCCCCACATCCCGATCCTTGAGGCTGTCAAAGAAGTTCATGCCACGATCGACGGTGCGGTCGAAGGCTTCCTGAACTTCGGCTTTCATTTCCCCGAAACAGGTCGCATGCAGGATGACACGTTGAATCGCCAACAGTGGGGATTGGCTCCAAAAACGCTCCGCCATCGCCTCCACTGAAACGCGGCGTTTCCAGGGTCGGTACGTGCGCACTTTTCCCCGGCCTCCTCCTCGCGCAGCACATTCTGAACACGCTCTCCAGCAGCGCCCTCCAAGTCTGGAAAGCCCGGGCTCAGGCACTCCACCACTTTTGGAACCTCAGAAAGATAGGAGACTCGGGGCCAAGATGCCCCGCAAAAGCAGTAGTGAAATCGGATCTTCAATCCCACCAGCACAAAGGCCAGCTAAGCCCGTCGCCAGCTTGCTGAAAAAGCCAGGCGGGGCATTCAGCTTGGACCGTCCATTGTGCACGGCTCTTCTCAGGATGCGCCGCAGCACATAGCCTCTGCCTGTAACATGCCAGCAATCGGCCATAAAAACAGGTGAGTTGACTTCTCCAGTTCTAAGTCAAGGAGACATTATCTACATGTATGATACATCATATATGCGTAAATCAGTATGTCCGAACATGCCGTACACTCCGCAATGACTACGTGCCAGGCTAAATGTTGAGGGCCGCTTTCACGCACGCAGCGGTGTGGCCTTCTGATGACGGAGCTGCACCATCCGCCACCGCCATTGTAAGAGTCCGTGCATGGTCAACTATGATTCCTTGGAATGGAACACTCAGAAGCCTCAAGCTGGCATCAAGTTGGCACCTGGTCTGACTGACGGCCGTTGAGTCTATAGCATCACTGCGAGGCCGTGTGCCGTGCAGCACGCCCATGCATGGCAGGTGACAATGAGATGCCACATCTAGCAGGGCCTGGGTGGGCATGCAGCGTGCTGGCACAAAGCATGGCAACCAAGGCTCGGTAGGCTGTATCTCGAAGGTTGGCATCGTCCTTGCCGACCTTGCCTGTGTATGGCTCACCTGCACCGGGTAGGCTCGGAACCCTGAATGCGTAAGGCGCAAGGCCATGATTCAAACAGCGGAACAACTCTCTCAACTTGAGCACGCAATCAAAAGGCCTCCCACAAGCTCATGCACCGCAGCCAGCAGCGGCCCGAAAACGTCCGTGTCGTAGTTGCTCCTAGTGTCCTGCAGCACCTCCGGGCTTACAAGGCACCTTGTGGCTCCTTGCCACACCCCAGTTTAGCATACTAGGTGGCCCTGATGTCACCGCTTGCGCTCCTTCGGCTGAAAGCAGGCGCTCGTTACATCTGCCCTAAGCCTCTCTCCATCTGCTGGCACCCCTCTTTCAATTGAAAAGCTCCGAGGATTGGCAATCAATGAATTGAGATGCACTGGCCCAGGGAATCACAATAAGTATTCACTCTTGGGCCACCACGGATGTGATGCGCTCCATGCCCATGCCCGTGTCAATGTGTCGGCTTGGGAGCTCCGACAGCTTCCCATCATCGCCCCGGAAGAATTGCATGAAGACCAAGTTCCTGGCCGGCCAGTCCCGAGTCTCAAAGACACGTCCGTGACACCCGGATTTTGCACTTGCCGTGTTTCCACGTAACTGGACAAGAAAGTATTGGGCCAAACTGCTGAGGCTTTTTGTCCCCCTTAGCCCCACCAGATCTCAATGACGTCGGGATCATCCGCGTTAACCAGTGAGGCTGCATCACGTCCGCCGATGCGGTCGTAGTGCAGCTCAGAACAGGGACCACAAGGGCCTGCAGCCAACAAAGCTACGGTCAAGGCTGAGGCTGCTGAAGGTTGCGTGCAATGTGCTTTTGTGAGCCTGTCGCGCCCATCTCCCAAAAGTTGTCCTGCCGGCAGGGGAGGCATCTGACGCTGGAGCGTTTCCCGGTGCACGGCTCAAACCCTTGCGACATGGTGCATGTCAAATTAACCCGAAAGTGAACTACCCGCCGCCTGGACACAACTCCCGCAATTCTGCTTACCTTCTGAGTTCCGTCATGGTCCTTCTTGCCGAAGGGCAGCACTCTGCTCTCGGGCAAGTACTGCATCCAAAGCTCCTTGGCCTCCAAATCCTCCGGCAGGCCCAACCTGCAGCACGCTTCCGTTCGACATGCTGGCGTCCCCTCAAAAGGTGCACATGCTTGCCTGGGGGGGCAGATTTTGTCACTACAGCCAGTTTTAGTTGCTGATGTCTGCTGCCCCAAACCACGGCTACAAGTGTGTGTCTTCAACGAAGGCCCAAATTGCCAAAGCTCCCAGAAGGCTATCTCTTGCCGCTCTGAAGCTCTTCATCACCTTTGAAGTAGCTGGCATACAGGCGACTCGGATCAAGGCCATAGACCTTGGCAGCAAACCCTCGCAATGCTCATCGCCCAGCCGGCCAGCCACTCAGCAAGCGCTGCAATTTGAACATAATGCAGCCTTCAATGATGGTGCGCGCCTCAGTCAGCAACTCCCATGCCCACTCGATGGCTTCCTTCTTGAAGTAGTCCCCAAAGCTCCTGGCATGGCGGGGATGTGATGCCTTTTCCGTCACACACTTGGATGCGGTAGTTGGTGCATAGCACTTGGTCCCATCAACGACTCAAAGAATTGCCAAGCAGCCAATTGCCCAGCATCTCGAAGAAGGTGTGGTGGTAGACATCCTTGCCCACGTCATCCTTGGCTTCTGAATTCTAACTTGCGTGCTGCAAACCTCTCCAGCACAAAAAACGACGGAACAAAAACCTGTTGGAGGCTCGCGGCATACCGAGCACAGAACTCCTCACGTCCTGTCAATCCTCTGCTTGCAAACCAGTGGCCAAATCGTTGTGTTTGCCCCCTGCACGGATGCACTTCTGGGTGTTGACCGCTCTTGTGACACCTGGCACAGGTGGCCCAACAGCACAACAAAAGCAGGAAGGGCGGGGAGGCCCTACTGTTTCCTGTTGCTGATTTGCGTGTTCACTCGCTCGCTCGCATACCCGCCCATTCTGAAAGCCCCGGACTGACACAAAACTCAACATTCCAAAATGTTCACTCACGGCAGGACGGCCTTGCAACGGGCTGCTGGGGTCCAACTGTCCCAGGAAAATCGGCTTGAACTGATTCATGCCAGCCTTACTCGTGTGCTTTCGTTGATCAACGCAAAGAGATACGACATGAAGCCCTGTCGAAGCTGAGAAGCGTTGGCAAACAGCAGCGTCGGGTCGCTCAGTGGCACCACGGGGCTGGACTGAACGAAATCATGGCCCTTGTCCCGGAAGAATGAGATGTAGGTTTCTCGGACTTTGTCTCCTGCCAAATCAGCCGCTCTTGGCCAGAACCGTGTGGAACACGCCAAGGTGAAGCATCAAATAACTACGATCCGGCAAGAACAAAGCATGGACTGCCACACTGACCACGCGCTGTCCTGTCCATGAGTTGGACGCTGCTGCTGCAATCGTTCGAGGGATCGACACTGCAAAGGATTGCCTGTCAGTAGCCACTCTCACACCCTAGTAGATAACCAAGCTTGATCTCCCGCAAACCTCCGGCGTTGCCTTCTCATCATCTAATCAGTGCCTTTCATTCCTGGTTATCTACCGTACGCGCATACTCTCCACTCAAGACTCAAGACGCTACATAGCGTCCCGCCCTCCCACCCTTCCGCCCTCCCTCCTGCCTTTTGCCACGCCGCGCGTGAGCCCGACAGGCGCAAGCTGCAGCGCCCCAAGCAAGCGTACAGAAGCTGCCGCCAGGCCGCAGTGGGGTGTCAGGCGCGGGCTTCGCGCGGAGCGTGGCAGGCGCGTGGGTAACCGAGGCGCGGGGGCCGGCGCGGAGGCTTGGCGCCAGGGCCATGCTGCGCATTGAGGTCAGTTGAGGCGTTGGCTATTTGGACGCTTAAGAATCCCGCGACTTAGCGCCATAGGTTGGTGCGTTCCCTTCCAAGGCTTCAGAAAAGGGCTGCTTCCGTCTCCGATTGCATTTGGTGATGCAGCTCGCCTTTTGGCAGGCCTGTTCTTGTTGAGAGTATCTGTAGCATGCACGCTTCTCAAGCCATGCATGTGCTCTCCGGAAACAAATAAAATGACTTGTCCTACGGCTATGGCCTGCTGCCTAGTGCCCTGGTCTTGGCCCGTGGCACCATCTGGCAAACCCACTGCCACATGTGTCGAGCGTGCTGGCCTGGCCACATGGGGCAAGATCGCCACAAACTGCCACCAGTGGGCACACAAGTTCGCTGCCCATAGCTTCCAAACTGCCCATCATTCAGCATTGCAGAGGGCGCATGCATGACGTTAGATCTTATGTTTGTTGCGCCCGAGGAACGCCTTCCAAGAAGGAGCCTGCATCTCAGGCCATGATCACAGGCCAAAGCCATTACTCAGCAGGACGTGATGTGATGAGAAGGTTCAAGTCCGGTCTTCCCAAAGATGCATTGACTGGGCAAAATTATCGACCCAACGCAAGCCGGCAAAGAAACTCTTGCCAGCCACGCCAGGGCGCGACATCCACCAATGGCCTGAGATGACAGAAGCCCCGGTGCTCACAAACAAAGAAAGAGGCCGCACACTTTTGCAGTCCGCACCTTAGGTGTGCGTGTTGGCCGCCCCGCATTAAATGGACTGGAGCGATGGCCACTCGAGTGAGACGGCTCCGCTGCTTGTGCAGCGGCCTTGTGAAACAAGCAGTCTGTGCTTGGCATGCAGCTCGATGGCTGGCTGCTTCAACCGGCCTCGCTAGTGTTACATGGCCGAATCAAGCCGGGGCCAAGAGCGCCGCGCTACCTTCACCACGTTCAGTTGGTTTAGAGGGTTGGGCAAAAGTATGCCATTTCATTCATTCACATTCCGGTCCATCGGGATCCGCACTTAAGAGCTCCAACTGGAGATGCGTGAGTCACATGTGTAGTTCAACAGGTCTATATCGTAAGTGCTTGACTGAAGGATGCACAGCTTGCAGCTGACACAGCTGGACCACTGGCGCCCTGTGTCGATATCTTGCTAAAGGGATGGCCATATGCCTTCGTCATGCTTCAGCCCGTAGTTGAAGCGCAAACCTCCACGCTCCAGCGGTTGCAGCCAGCCTCATCGACCCAGAGCCCCGCAGTGAAGCACAACTCTTCACATTGACGCGGTCACGTGTTGCTTTCCAGATGCGGAACTAGGGCATCGCAAGGTTTCAAATTCTCGATCCATTCTGGTATGACTCGGAGTTGCACAATGCTGGAAATGTGTCTCTCTGGGGCCAGCACCGAGCTCCTCTTGGACAGGACAGCACTCAGCATTCCGCCAGACAACATCAAGTTAGAAACCCCATGCGCACTGCCACAGAGAAAATGACTCTCCCAGTCAACTCCACGGCTTGCAATGCACTGAGAACATAAAAATCCTCAAGGCAGCCACCATGCGGCCTCATGGCGAGTCCTGCTGGGTGGTCGCCGGCTTTCGAAACCGCTCCCGAGGCACCTTGTTCGTAAGGCCTGCAGGCTCGTACCAGCCGGCAGCTCCAGGATTCAACATTGCGGGATCTGACCGAATTGATGCCACTGGCCAAGTGCAATGCCCGGCCTATCAAGGCTCCAGACCGCGACATTTCCGCTGTGCCCTGCTTCGGCGGTGCCTAACATCTAGTGAACCCGAGGCAAAGCATGCATGGTCCAGTGGTGGTCTGCCGAAACTGACCAACTCTTTGCGCTAATTGGAGACGGCATTGGTTTACAGTTGATTGCAGTCACAAAGTCAAAGTGCAGGCAAAGTTCGGCTTCACTTGTTTTGACTACCAATCCCTTGCCCAGCTTGAAGTCGAAGTCAATTTCTCCAGCCACTTTGGCCCATGGTATTCTAGCAATACCGGCGCAAATCAAGCCCCCGCCTTTTCAAGCATAGCTTGCCCAGCAGAACGAAGAGATGGTGCCTAAACGAGAGCAACTTGCAAACCCACTGAGAAGCCAAAGGCCATCCCACCCCCAAAGGTTCTTGGATTACGTGAGGGTTCTAAGAACCAGTCGGCGGGGGTCCTAAAGACTCTCCAGACCACCTGAAATGGACGCATTGAGACGCATGGAAATGCACCTTGCCAACCCTTGGGCCGGCACCGAGGCCGAGTGACCAGGTCCACCCCCGCGCAGGAAGCCCCAAGAGTCTTCCTGGGCAACTCGGACTGGCCCACCCAAGGCTTTGCAATTGTTTATCCATTATCTGGATTCATCTGCTGTAAAATCTGGCAAACCTGGGGGTAGAGCCCACTGCACGGCGGCTTTCCGCTCTGTGAGGATCGCTTGCTGCCACAGGATGTTGGCTTGATGGCCTGACATGCATCTAGCCGCAGGAAGCCACCCCAGCAAAGCCTGCCGTGCCCAAACCCTGCCTACTGGCTGCGGCATTGTGAGGCACACTCGCGAGGGCTGCTGTTTCTTTCTCTCTCAACGCCTGGTCTTTCTGCCCGAGGTGCTGATAGGCATTCGGAACAAACACATACAGTGCATATGCAACTTGTGGTTCTGTTTATAATCAACTTGACGCAGCTGACTTTTGAGCCCACCAGCAGCAAACCCTATGACCTGCAACGTTTTGAAAATACCGTGAACCAGTGGGGCGTTTCAGGCAGGGTTCCCCCGTCCGTCTGGCGAAAGAGCTCATTTCACGCCCTCTGCTTGCCAACGCTCTAAGGCCCTCGACTGCCAGTATCCTGCGGGAGCCATCACCTCAGCCCGGCTCTAGTCATGCTGAGCAAGACTTCGATGAGGAAATGCCGTGGACTGGGGCCAGTGCTGCCAGTCTCCTGCACAGAGGCTAGCTCAGGACATCCCATTAGCCATCCCACAAATGCAAAGGCTTCTCGAGGTGTGCCCAGTGCCCCGGGTATTGGACAGGATGCCATGGGCCCTGAATTGGAAACACAGATCCAAACGGGGCAGGATGGATGTTGGCGGCTGGCGGTCCTCACTTCTAAAGTGGCCTCAGGCCACACGACCAGCTCCACCACCCTGCAGTGCACGTGCTCAGGCTTGCATGCCTTGAACTTAAGATGGCGCTGTGAGGCGGGCTATTCAACAAAGGACGGTTCGGCGGAATTATCTCTACATTTTGCCCGGCCTCAAATGCATCCTCGACACTGGCGGCTGGACACCGGGACACGCGAAAGTTCCGTTCTCCCTTGGCACCAGCAAGAAGCCCTCAAACCGTACAACGAGCACATCGGTGCCAAGCGCGCATCATAAGCAAGTAAGAAAGCGACAGGCCGCTGTAGTCATGGCAGGCCTAAGGGAGCTACGGGTAGGACCCGAAGCATAGTGGCAAATGTTAATTTAATATGTCATGAGTCGCTAGTCAAAATGCACCCTTCAAGAAACAAAACAAATTTTGTCAAGGGCTAGCCTCATGGACAGCGACTGAGCGGGGCTTGCCACCATGGTAGCGGTGGCAAAGAAAAACGTCTGGGCTTCCGACGCCCCCGCCCACCGGGACCTCAGTCGGGCCCGGTCCGCATGTCTGGAGGGAACTGGAACGAAGACGAAATGCGGGATGTGGTGGGCCCAAATGCAAGCCAAAAAGGCGGCAGGTGACAACCTCTCAGGCCGTCACTCCCAATTGCCCGGGTGCAGCGCCTGTGCATGGCACAGCCCTGACCCGACAAGTGGCAGCACGCCTTGACTACAAGAGTTGCTAGAAGGAGCTGAACAAAGGAAGTTGGACACTGCACCTCATGACTCATCGCATGAACAACCTTCCAAATACCAGTTGGGTGCTCTCGCTTCTCCTGCCCGCCTGAAGGCAGCATGGTGACATTGTCGCAGTACATAATCACCTGGCACCCCACCACTGCCAAACATGGGCACAAGGCAGGCAACCAGGCCCCTTGACCTGCAGGTGCCAGCAAATCTTGCGCGGGCTTAGGCACACATCCCGTTTAACCTGCCGCACTGCGCTCCACCCCCGCCTCCTGTCTCTCGCGGTCCAGCACGAAGCGCAGGCTCCGCACTTGGCCCGGGAATGCCGCACCACTGGGGCCCAGCCTGAATACAGATCCCGGCGGAACAATTGTTTCTGAAGAAATTAGCATTCGGGGTGAAGGGCGGGTGCGTGTCTGTGCTTCCTGCATAAGCTTACTTGCGCAGAAACGGCTAAACATTGTTTACCGGAAGGGGGCCCGGAAGGGGGCCTTGGAAGGAGGCTGGAACAGATTGCTGTTAGGCTTTGCACCTGTGAAACAGACTGTGTGGGGAGAACGCTTACTTCGCACAGAAAGCACTAAGGGCTCTCCTGTTCTGCAGCAAGCTATAACAAACTCGCCCGTGCAAGAGCTAGCTCAGTCAGCTAGCTCCCTTTGAAAAGTTGGTGTGCTGCAGGGAGCTAAAGCATGCCCCTAAATCTACTGCCCCTACTCCCCGCGCCGTGAGCCAACCTCGCAAATACCTTCAAAAGCGCCAAACTTGACGTGGCTTCTAACGCGCGATGCGGAGCAGAGGCCTTATTGCTGGCTGATCTGCACGTGCCCACGGCCTTGGAAGCCGATGCGACTGTCACCCCATTTGCAATTTTGTGTTTCAGAGTGTGTTCAAATTGCTCCTAAGGGAAAGCACGGCTAGTTGGACCCAACAATGGAATCCAAAATGCCTCAAGAAAACAAAAACATACTACAGCTGACAGCAGTCACCATTGCTGAGCTGAGAACGGCTGAGTGCCCGTGCAACCTGTCGTGCCTCGGCAGCGAGCTCCGGCCACATAGGTCAATGCTGGCACCCTCCAATGAATGTAAACCGAAACTCGCCAAGTTTCAGGCAAGGTCACGTGCAACGAAAACAAAGGCAAAGGTTTCAATGGCATATGCCCGCGGGGGACGTGCAAAGCTCTCTGTCAGGCACT